ACGGTCGCCAGAGAAGGGCAACGTAGCTGCTGGGGAAGGGTCTAGAGCCCAAGTTTGGGGAGGAGCAGCTGAGGGAGCTGGAGGGGGGTGTGGGGAAGTTGTGTCTTTTTTTGCTTCAACACCACAGCCTGATTTTACATTTAATGTGGCAAATTTTTGTGCTCCTTTTACTTATTCGTCTCAAAGTACTGCATTTTGACATACCAGGTTTTGGTGCCTTCCCCAGCACCTAAACTGCATTCATGCTGCTCCTTTCTTTGTGTGTGCCCCTGGTCTGGTTAAAGAACTCATGACAGGTAGCACGTGTCTGGTCTGACCTCCAGGATAGCACTTCTAAAACCCTCCAGGGCACCAGAGATTTTTACAAAAGTTTTGTATTTCTTTGACAGCTCTAATTTCTTTAATGTACCTCCTTAAAAAAAAAAAAAAAGGGAGCTAGCAAAACAAGGTGGTTTGTGTCTCTGGAGCTACAGCCATGCTTCCTGTAGCCCAAGTCACAGCCCAGCAGCACCTGCACCACGCCACCATGGTGCTTTTCTCCTCAGGTACCTCTCTTCTCACCCACATCCCCCTCCAGCCAGCAGCCTGCTGGGCTCTGGCCCTGGGTGTCTCTGGTCTCTGCAGCCTGTTTTGGTTGTGCGGGGAGCAGCTGTGGTGCCATCCCCAGGGGGACAGTCTGTAGCTGCACAGTCCAGCAGCACAGCATGGCCCAGCATGCAGCACTGGCACTCCCTCAAAGGCCAGAGAGGTGTAGGAGACCTCTGAGGACCTGCAGCTCTTGCACAGCAGGAACTGGTCTCCCAAGGGCCACACACATTCGGGGCGTGCTGGCACATGCACACACACAGACCCACAACTCTGCAGGGGCAATGCTGCCCTTGAGCCAGGATGCTTTATTGAAAAGACAGGAGTCCCTTGGCCTGTCCCTTCCCCGCCTCATCCTGCAGCAAGAGCTGAGCAGCACCTGGAAGGCAGAGTCCTTAAAGTGCTTTACTGGGAGGTTTATTCCTGGAAGACACTGGATCCTGTGATGCTCAAGTCCAGGGCTGCAGAGCCAGCACCCCAGCTCAGTGACAGGCCATAGAGCAGAGCACAGAGGGAGAGCAGCAGCTGCCATCTCTGCAGCAAAGAGCCTCCTCACATCACCCTGTTCTCTCCTGCCAACGGCAAGAGGACCCAGACGCAGCCTTGGGCACAGAGCAGAGCAGGTACCCAGCGAGGGATGGCTCTGGAGAGCAAACAAGCACCGTCCAGACATCACTGCATCACCAGCTCCATGGTGGTCAACGGCTCCGGTTATCCTCGCAGGGGCAGGCAGGCTGGGCACAAACCAGCAAGCCAGCGGTCCACCAGCTCCAACCGTTTAGGACCAGTCCTTTCCACCAGG